CCCACTCATTGCCTTCATCAGGTCTGGCAGCAAGGATGTCACACAGAAGCACAGCAACACACTTTAAGTTTACTCAAACTAAATCGACTGAAAATGCACAAGTCTGGAAAATCAAGTCTGAGAACACTGCTCTGCATTTTGTATAAATAAACTGATCCTTTACAAGACATGGTGGTAATGCCCATTGGTGGGTCTGCTATGGCAGAGATGTAGACTCTCATGAATACAGGTTTTGTAACCGCAATAGAAAAATTGCAAATAAATGATGCATGTGCATGACTTTCTGTTTGTATTGCACTGAAGGAAGGGGGATCCAGTCAGCAACCTGGATTTACTGAACTGCCTCAGTAAACCCAGGGCACAATCCACCACATGATTCCATCACCGAACTGTGAAAGCTCAGCAACTTGGTTCCTGCTTGTTGCTGCTGTTGTTTGACAATTTTGAGGTGTTTGTATCTGTGCCAGCCATCTCTGCCTCTCTTAACTTCTGTCCCCAGACTATGTGTAGATCAGACTATGTGTTTACAAAAAGTTCCATCATGATTTCAGGATCAGTGGCAGCCTCTCATGTACTGGAAATAATTCTTCATGTTTGGCCATAAAAAACCTGATACAATGTGCTTGCGAGGAAATGAGATTGTCTGATTTAAATGCAGGAAACTCATTTTGTCTGTGCCGGGCTCAGCTGCTACTAAAGCCCATATTTTTGAGGTAAAAAGATATGAGTTGGAGTGTTGGAAAGCACAGGGACATCCCAAGGTTCAGTTTCTGCTTTGTTTCACTCATTCTACTAAGCTGCAGAAGGGATTCTGAGTGTTCAAACACATAGAGTGTGAACTGCAGCAGAAACCTGTAAAAACTTCAGTTAACTGGGGTGTGAAAAGACGAGGAAAGTTTTTTGGCAAAATACACCTCTAAATATATATTTAAAGCATCAAAGAAACCATGAAGAAGACAAAGATGAAGACAAAGAGGAAGAGGAAGAAGAAGAAGGAAGAGGAGGAGGAGGAGGAAAAAGAAGAAAGAAAAGAAAGAAAAACAAAAAGTAATGACAATGTGTGGGGTTTTGTTTCCAATGCCTCAGCCTCATTTAGAAAGGAATGGATCAAAATTTGAAGAATGGAATTGTCACTGTGGAAAATGGACTTTGCCCCAAGGCACTAATCGTGTGTCTGGTCCGCTATGAATATCCAATGGAAGGCAGAGCCTGGAGCCTGGTGGAGGCTGAGGCCCAGACCCAGGAGTTGAGGCCCCTTGGGCTGAGGTGGCAGAGTCTTTGCTGCACCCTCGTGGCTCTGCCTTACTGGGCCTGCAGGACTGCAGCATGGATGCAGTGGTGGAAATGGGTGTAAGGCAAGAGGTGCTGGGCTCCTCTGCATGCTGCACACTCCCTGCTTGGCCTGAGGACAGGAAGATTCAAGTCCTCCATGCTGGAAAAAGAAACTCTGAAGAAGATTCTGGGTGTCCTCTACAAGACAGAGATGAACACAGTGACTTCTCAGGTAGGGAGGGCAGGACACCCACCAGAGCGGGATCCGCACGGCTTTATGTGTTGGGGGTTGAAAAGTTAGTCGTGAATGATGTGTTGCCTTTCTGAATAAAAAGACTCCTTATTTTATATATCTATAAAGTGAAGATTGAATGTTCTTCTATATGCGTATCCTACATTACATATAGAAGAGTATTAAGTCATCCATTTCTACTCACCTATTTAAGAAAATACCAACTATTTATTCTTAAGTGAATTGAACAGAAGAGAAGTAATATTGAATGGAACACTATAAATAATGCAGTGGAAAATAAAATGGAAAAACCACAAGGGCATCCCACCCAGGATGAGAGGTCTGCCATTGACCAGCTTCTCTCTCCTGTCCTCAACTGCTGTGCAGGTCTGTGTCTCTTCACTGCTGGGTGGAGACAGTGTCAGGACACAATCTCTCTTCAATCTCAGGAAAGATCATGGACATGGCCTTTTTTCAGCATTTTTCAGTGGCTGTAATTTATAATTAACTCAGCAGCTGTGCTGTGGAAAATTCATGGTTTCTAACTGTCCACACCTTAACTGATTAAGAAGAGAATATGGTGTCTATCAATCTCATTTTTTATAATGACCCATAAAAGTGGAATTTCCAGGTTAAATGTATATAAGATGAATTTGGGAGTCGCAGATATTTTACCTGAATCCTCAGCATAGAGTTAGAGCCTGGTAGAGGAAGACTGAGACTGCTCAAATCTCTGTGGAGATCTGAAGTCAGAGAGATGGTCCAGGCAGAGGAGCAGGACACCATAGCACCTAGCAGGAATCTTGGCTAAAAAAGGCCCAGACCAGGCTGCCTCATCCATCAGTGAGTTCTAAGGAAAGTGTCACATACTCCACACTGGACAAGAGAGCTGGAATGGTTTCAGAGCTCCTCCCTACATGCCTGAGGCCCCCTGTCTCACTCAGGGGAGCTCTGTATGAGGTCAGTCTCTTAGAGAACACAACTTGACTGAATGTTTTCCACCTAGGTACAGATCTGAACTGCCACATGTGGACTCACCGTAGCTATGGAGCAGGACAGGTGTTTACAGGGAGCAGGTCAGGAGTTGGGGACACTGCAGGCAGGTCAGGGTAAGAAGCCTTAAATAAGAGACCAGGCCCTCACCAAGCCCAGTTTCCTCCGGCAGTAATCACACCATGCAAGAATGTGTATTGAATCTGAGTAACTGAAAGGGGTTACTCACAAAATTATATATTATAGAGATAGTTTGAAGATACAAAAGTAAATGGTAGCATCCATAGGTAAAATGAGATGTGACCTTTAATGGATATGTGGTGTCCATTGATGTCCCCGAACCACATGCATCAGGAGGAAATAGTCTGATGAACAGAGCAATAAGGAGCACAGACAATGGGTAAACATAACAGCTGCTTAATAACAACAACAAAGCTAGGATACACTAAGTGCACTGGTGAATTTTATTCAGTATATAATAAACAATAAATACTGATTGTTTTTCAATTCTTTGATCAAGTTGAAGGAAAAACCACCACCAACTTCTTTTAAGTGACAAAGTTAAAGTTATCCTGAGAATGAAGCCAGACAATAATGTGTTAAAAATAATATAAATGAAAACACTCTGTTGGCTAATATTCTTACCAAACATACACAAAAGTGTTCAACTAAATGTTTGCAACGTTAAATCACCAGCATATTCAAAATTAACCAACATGATGAACCCTGGGCTGAATCTCAGTGGTGCAAGAATGGTCCCTCTCTCACAAACTCTCTGTTTCCACTGCTTTTAACATGTTGTATCTTACTATGTTTTACTATATGCGATAGTATTAAGAAAAAAATTTATAGGCAAGGAGATAATATAGAAACCATTGTTCATTTTCTGTTAACTGGTTCTAAATACCCTGTAATACTTTCATTCTGTTGAATGGCTTCACACTGTCTTGATATGCTTGATGCTATCATATATGAAGTTATACTCAAATAATTCAAGGAATGAGGCACTATGGTGACTATTATGTTAGATTATCTGGGAGTGAAACATAATTATGCTTAAATTGTTCCCTTCTGACCAGTGTTGTTCTATTACAATGTCCTCTTTTATCTCAATCTCCACCCTTTTTTAAAAATTAAACTATTTTTTTTCAATTAAGGGAAAACTAAATTTTAAAAAAGTGGGATATATTATAGTAACTATTTGTTTTCCTATTAACCTGATTTGAATGCCAATATTGCTATCCACATCTTGTTCTGTCTGAATTTACTATATTCTATTTTGTATGATAGTATCAAGTTTGAGGGTATAGGCAACCACTTTGAAGGCAATAAGATTTATTATGATGCCCATTATAGTTTGACTATTATCTTCTTTTGAAGTCTTGCAAGGTTTCCAGTGTAGGTTTTATTGGTCTTGTTCTGTACTGTTTTGATCAATTCTATTATACCTGATGATATAGCAACTCTTTTTAAAAATAGCAAGAGGCACAATGGTAACGATTTTTGATCATCTGATATTCTATTTTTGCATCATGTACTATGCCCATCCTTCTGTTCTAACTGACTCTGTTTTATTTAGTCATGTTAGGATTTATTCTCTTCTAAAAATTTAATAAGAACTGTGGGAGTAAAAAAAAACTCAAAATGTGTAATTGTTATTGTAAAACAGAGAGGAAAAGAGGGTGGTCTAAGGGATATAAATGCATGCTTGAGTGTGTAGGATGGAAAACCATATTACTTAGCTTTTGTTAGATCACTGAACAGATGTTTCTGCAATCTCACTGTATGAATGTCCACTTTATATGCTTTAATTTTATAATTTGGACAATTGTTTCTAAGATGACAATATGTAACCTATTAACTGTGATTTCTTACTGTATTTTTTCTTGAAATTCTGTATTACTTGTACCCTTTTACTGCTTTTTTATTTCCTTTCTTTTGTCTCTTTAATTAAAAAAATAATCAAACCTGGAATGGATATCTTTTACTTATTTATTTTTTTGGCTCTGGAGATCAAACTCATGACCTCACACTTGCCAGGCAGGTGCTTAAGCCACTCAGCTAAATCCCCAGCCCACCAATGGATATCTTTTACATCTTGTCATCTTCACAGTAGTTGCCTCTTCTCTTGAACTTGATACCAGCAAGCACACCAAATGTGAATAGAATCAGTCAAGGCCAAATAACATTCAAACAAACCAGCTTAAAATAAGATCAGTCATAGTAAGACAATGTTACTAATACAGGGTTTCAGTTTTAGTTAATAGGAAATTAAGGACAATTACCATCATGGTATAACCTGCCATTTTTGGGTTATCTCTCTGTGCCCTCAATTCTAATATGAGTAGACAGACCAGAACAAAATATAATCAAACTAAACAGAGCAACAGAACTACTGTAGCTTTTAAATCCTAATACACTTCTAACAATGTCCTCTGCCTTCTTTTTTTAGGCAATTCCTCACCTTTCTCCTTCTCAGGATACTATTATTCACTGTTCAGAGTGATATTAGTCCAGTCTCTTATGTTCCATTTCAGCATACATAAAGATAAAGACAGCTACTTCAAAGACAATGAAAGACATTATGGTAGTCATTATCAACTTCCCGAAAATCAGTCTTGAAGATCAAAAAAGCCTGCATCATCCTGTAATTATTTGATTAGTTCTATAATATTCAGTATATATTCAATGTGTGTGAAGATGGGAACAACTATTTGGAAGAAAACTAGAGACAGTAAGATAGACAGTGAACATTTCCAGTGGACTTCTTTTGAAATCTGTGTTTCCTTCTGTTCTGCTCTGTTTTGCCATGTTTAATCTTACCCTTTTTAAGAAAAAAAAAGTGTGTAGGACAGATGGCATATTAATAACTTTTTGGTGGATCATTGAGGTGAACTGTTGTCAGTGTCATTATTTGAATATCACTTTGTATGCTTTAAATTTGTAACTTGAACAACTACTTCTAAGATGACAATATGATACTAATCAACTAGTGATTTCTTATGGTTTATTTTTCTGAAATTCTATATTATTACTACACTTTTTTCTCTTTAAATAAACATTACAATTCACCAAAAAATATAAAATTTAAGTTTTAAAGAAAAAATATTAAGTACATAGGCCCTATCCATACTTGAAAGTGAAAAGCCCATTTCAGTTTAGCATGTTTAATTACAAGATGCCATGTTGAAGCACAAAAACACTTTAAAAAATCTAGAGAGGTACAAGGGATTAACTGAAAATCATAAAACATATGCAATTGAGTAGAGCTCCACCTCAGATTTGTGATTTCTGGAATATTTGTGAAGAAATATTGACATCTAACTTCTGTATTGATTATTTCTTCAGGTCTCCTTGGGATTTTTAAAGTAAACTTAGATCTAAACTGTCTGAACAGTGATGCTTTTTCTATGCATTTAACAAAAACATGGATTGCTATATTTCTCACATTGTTAGTCCACATAGAATCTCTGCCCAGTGAGCTCTTTCAGATATGTAACAATGATCAAGTATGCTGAGAGTATTCCCATAACACATAGGATTTATCTCTTGTGTGAGTTTTTTCATGTATTTCACTTACAATCTGGCTGATGAAAGTGTCTCCACTTGCTTACATAGCAGTGGTTCTTCTCAGTTTGAATTCTTTCATGTGTTTTGCAATTACTATATGCAGTAAAAGCTTTGCCACATTGTTATATACTTAGGGTTTCTTACCAGTGTGAACTCATTGATGTATTTTAAAAAATCCATATGTGGTGAAAGCTTTCCCACATTCTTCACATACACAGGGTTTCTTAACCAAGTAAATTTTATAATGTATTGGACAATGAGCATTTCTGCTGAAACCTTTCCCACATTCCTTACATATGTTAGTTTTCTGCCCAGTGTGAAGATTTTCATGCATTATGCAATATGTATGTGTGCTGAAACCATTCTCATGATGCTTATATACACTGGTTTTATATTGAATGTAAACTTTCATGTTTCTTACAATCTGCATGTGTTTTAAAAGCTTTCCCACATTGCTTACATACATATGGTTTCTCTCCAGTGTGAATTCTTTCATGAACCTTACAATTTGCACGTTTGTTAAAAGCTTTCCCACATTGCTTACATACATATGGTTTCTCTCCAGTGTGAATTCTTTCATGTTTCTTACAGTCTCCCCATGTGTTAAAAGCTTTCCCACATTGCTTACATACATAGGGTTTCTCTCCAGTATGAATTCTTTCATGAACCTTATAACTTGCACGTGAGTTAAAAGCTTTCCCACATTGCTTACATACATATGGTTTCTCTCCAGTGTGAATTCTTTCATGAACCTTATAACTTGCACGTGAGTTAAAAGCTTTCCCACATTGCTTACATACATATGGTTTCTCTCCAGTATGAATTCTTTCATGAACCTTATAACTTGCACGTGAGTTAAAAGCTTTCCCACATTGCTTACATACATATGGTTTCTCTCCAGTGTGAATTCTTTCATGTTCCTTACAACATCCAGGTCTGGTAAAAGCTTTCCCACATTGCTTACATACATAGGGTTTCTCTCCAGTGTGAATTCTTTCATGTTTCTTACAGTCTCCCCGTGTATTAAAAGCTTTCCCACATTGCTTACATACATATGGTTTCTCTCCAGTGTGAATTCTTTCATGTTCCTTACAATGTCCAAGTTGGGTGAAACCTTTTCCACATTGCTTACACACATAGGGTTTCTCTCCAGTGTGAACATTTTCATGTATTTGAAAATGAATTTTACTGCTAAAAGCTTTCCCACATTTCTTACATATATGCGATTTCTGCCCAGTGTGAATTTTTTCATGTATTACACAATAAGTACATGTGCTGAAAGCTTTCTCACAGTGCTTACATTCATAACGTTTTTCTCTGGAGTGAAGACTTTCATGTACTTGACAATACGTATGTGTTGTAAAAGCTTTCCCACACTCCTTACATATGTAGGGTCTCTCTCCTCTGTGAATTATTTCGTGTTTCTTACAAATTCCATGTGTAGTAAAACCATTCCCGCATTGCTTGCATACATAGGGTTTCCCTCCACTGCAATATTTTTCATGGATCTGAACATTGTGGTGTGTTTCTGTTTCTTTCACATTCACATTACCTCCTGCAGTACAAAGGAAGACTTCTTTACACTGATTCCAAGATGTATGTCCATAAGATTTCCCTAGCTTGTCATTTCTGTAAAGAAAAAAAAATCACATATAGGATTTATAAGCATATTACTAATTTTTTCTTGGAGAGTTGAACAAAACTGCATTCTCACTGTTTGAATCTCCACTTCATATGTTTCACTTTTGTATTTCATAACTATTTCTATGAACAGCATATGTAATCATCATCTTGCGATATCTTACTCTTTATTTTCACTTTGAAAGCAATATTATTTCTACTTATTTTGTCTAATTTAATTTTCCTTATATTAAATTTAAAAAAAAGAAAAATTTACAGTGAAATGGGTCTCCATGTAATGACTGCATTAATATCAAGTTCTGTTTTTAATGGCTGCTAAGAAATTCTGACTATGAAGCAACAGAATAGCCTTGTAAGATATGTTGAAAACAACCATTCCCAAAAGACTGGTACACATTTGGAAATCTTAAAAATTGGTACTTTGAAATGCAGAATCTTTAGCTTCACTTTGGGCATGGGTACATATGTGTATCACATGCAGATTATTCTCATATGTTTCCCTATCACAATCTCCCTTCTGTCCTTAACCTGTAGTTCCCTTTTCCATACGGTCAGTCTTACTTTTCTCTAACAACTCTGTTTAATTTCATTCCACATTTTGTATTTTGGTTTCTCATCTAAAATAAACCCTGTGACCTTTTAGGTTTTATAGCTGAGCCATTTCACTGAATTCATGGGTGAAAGACCCATCTAATTCTTACGGAAAATGACATTATATAACACATTTTTTTCTTTTCTGGGCTGGGAATGAACACCAGGTATTAGCATAAATCTGTAGCTTTTTAAATATCTATTTTAAGAGATTTTCACTGAACATTAAGCTGTGAAGTTTGAACTTGAATTTGCCATTCTGCAAAATCTGATTTCTAGTGTGCGGGTTTACAAGAATGCACAATCACAGAGAGTCTATTAACATTTTCCTTCTCCACAAATCCAGTGATAGATAGATATGCTTCAAAGCCTCATATGTTATAACTTGATCTGCTTTATATATGAGTAAGCATGTATCAGTATTTTATGCGGATTTTGAGATTTTATATCCAGGACAAGTCTGAGAGGATCAATTTTTAGAGACAACTGCATACTGATATTCAAAATGAGTGCACTAACATTCCACCAGTCTACTAAGAATATTAATCAGAATCACTGATTGTCTAGAGCATGGCTTATAAACACGAGCACTCAGTTTTATTTCAAATTCTATTGCAATCTTAGCAATTGTTAGATAATGAATGTGTTGTATTCACGTGTAAAAATGGGTAGAAAAACTGAAGGCAGAATGTCATAACTCAAAGTGTATGCCTTTCGTACACATCTATATGCAATGTCATACATTTTCATGATTTAATTCCCTCATATATACACTAGCTTATACATCTTCAGAGAATATTACTGACATTAAATTGAATAGTGCCTCATTTATTTGGTGTTCATTTTTCTGCTGACTCACTAATTACTCAGGAACATTTCTCTCCTTGTGAGTGGGAATTACCTTAAGTATCTCCAGTAAATTTTGCCTCCTTTTTCAGCTTCCTGGATATCCCCAAGTCCTCCTGAATTGTAGACATAGAAATACCAGGACTCAGTTGAGTAATACATACAAATAGATTTTTGTTTAGATTTATGATATAATGTGTCCATGTCTGAGCTATTTTTAAAAATATTTTCATATTCTTTTTAATGAAACATCACTAATGAGCAACAAACAATATTCTGACAGCATGAGTGACAAAAAGATTTCATCCTTACCAATTGCAGCCATGTTCCTAAAGATTTCACCCATCACATCTCTGTAGAGGTTCTTTTGGGATGGACTCAGCAAACTCCACTCCTCATTGCTGAAGTTCACAACCACATCCTCAAAGGTCACCACCTCCTAAAGGATCATACATATATTTCTCAAAGGAAGGTTGAGACCCCAGGTTTGGGATATCTTAAATTCTCTCCTACAAATCTGAATCAAAAGCAAAGTGCGGTGGTGCATATCTATAATCCCAGCACTCAAAAGGCAGAGACAGGAAAGCATCAGTGAGGTCAGGGCAATTCTAGGCTCCATAGGGTGTTCAAATCCACCTGATATACATACAGAAAGCTTGTCTCAATAAAGCAAAACTAAACTAAACAAATAAAGCCAAACAAAACAGCTGAATGAAAACTGATTTGTTCAAATTTAAATCCATGTCTTGTCATTAATTTTCTGTCTATACACATTTTTGAAGACAGCAAATTTGATGCTAGATTGAAACTCACTGCTAATGTAACAGCCAAATAGGAGCACTGATTCTTTTGCTGAGTCATGGCAAGATTCCCTGTGCACTTTCTCTAAAGCAGAGCTCACAGTGAGAAGCCTGCAGGACCAGCAACCACAAAGCACAGAAGCAGATAAATATCTCATCAATTGACTGGGAAGCTAAGTAAGCACCTCCACTCCATGGTCAGTGGTGGTGGTTTGGCAGACTGCAGCCCTTCTAGGGGGAAAACCAACAGCAGCTCCTGAGATCCATGCCATGCTGGAATTTAGGACACTATGAAGCCAAGCAAGCACCACTTCTCCCTGGTAAGTGGTGGCAGTCTGGCAGACTGCGGCCCTTTCATGGGGAGAACCAGCAGCAACTTCTGAGATCCATGCCATGTTGGAACTTAGGACACTGGGAAGCCAAGCAAGTACCTCACCTCCCTGGTGAGCAGTGGCAGTATGGAAAACTGCAGCCCTTCCAGGGGGATAACCAGTAGTAGCTCCTAAGATCTGTGATATGTTGGAACTTAGGACGCTGTGAATCCAAACAACCAGCCTGTCTCCCTAATGAGCAATAGTGAACCTACTGATGCACCACCTAGAATCAAACATCCCACTTCCCTACCCCTCTTATCCTGAAAAATTTCTATTTAGGGCTTCTTATTTACACCACTTAGATATGTTCATGGTAGAGAATTTCCATATTTAAACTGTTTATTAACACCCAAGCTACTAAACCAGCTCTTAATTCAGAGATGACACCTCTATTCCTTTCCATTCAGAAGGATATCACATGTATATATCCATGTAAATGCCTAAATTTTGGCATTTTTTGATGAGAATTTAACAGGTAGCCCTTTCTGGAATGGGCTAATGGGAACCAGAAATCTGAGTGCCTCCTGGGAAGTAGACCATAGCAAATAAGGGGGACTTCCTTCTACTATCTCTTTGAAGGAAAATGTTTTTATTATTGTTTCACTCTATTCTAATTAATGGTACTGCTCAATTCAATATTCTGTTTTGATAAGTTCTATAATGTTCTGTATTTCATCTCATTTTGATATATGTGATTAAAGAACAACTATTACAAAGATAACAAAATATACTGTGATACCTATTACTGTTATCCCAGTAACCTGTTGTGAAGTTGTGTACCAATTTCACTGTATGATCTTAGTTGACCTTATGCTGCCTTGTTCTATTGTATTTTACCAATTTCAAAATTAAATAAAAAATCTCATCAATCACTTTGATATACTACAGATGATGTCTCTTCAAATCTCATTTAGGCCAATGAGTACTTTGTTCTTAATATACTTAAGCAGCATTTTGAAACATGAATTTGGATTCATAGAACAAAACATAAATAACATCAAATATGGTATATAAATAATAACTCAAGTGTTAGGGAAAAACAGCTGTATTTTAAAAATATGTATATAAAATGAAACCAGGCCCAAGCTGTAAATTATACCTCACTGTCACCAAGTGATCACTTTCAAGTCAAATATAAGAAATATATCTTGGGATGCTGGTGAAGGATTTCTTCCTTGAATTTGGGGCTATCCTAAGTTACAGAGCTGTCTAAAATAGACAAACCCTGATTGAGACACCGAACAGACAAAGTGAAGCTTAAAAAGAGACTGCATAAGACACCTTTGGTTTGTTTTTAAAAAGTTATAGCCATACAATACTGAAAAATTCCAACAATATTCAACACTTTCTGAGAAACAATGTGGATCTCTTCCATACTACACAGAAAACACTTTCATAGTTGGGTATTGAGCTCAGTGGCATGAAGGACTGCCTGGAAAGCATAGGTCATGCGTTTGATCCTTGGTACAAAAAAATTGAAAATTTCACCTTCATGACACTGGGACATAATTAGAGATAATCAAATTAGATCTCAAGTATGGAATACAAAAATCATGTGTTGACAGGGATGTGGAGTACTGATTGTTGACAGCGCTGGTGTTGATCACCTCAATGAAGCAATCAGAACTTTACTTCATAATTACTCTAAGAACTACTTGACTTTCAGTGAAGACGCTCTCTGTTGTATGTCCTGCTATTTGCTGCCTGCATCCTGTCAGTCACTTCCACATCTTTTCCACACTCCTCTGATCCATCCAAACAGAAAACACTTCATGCCTAAGTATTGATATCACTGCAAAATTTCTATTTAGGGCTTCTCATTTACACCACTTAGATATGTTCATTGTAGAGAATTTCCATATTTAAACTGTCTATTAACACCCAAGCTACTAAACCAGCTCTTAATTCAGAGATGACACCTCTATTCCTTTCCATTCAGAAGGATATCACGTGCATATGTCCATGCAAATGCCTAAATTTTGGCATTTTTCGATGAGAATTTAACAGGTAGCCCTTTCTGCAATTTGTCCTTCACACATTTTTACCCTGTCCTTGATAATACTTTCATATTTGCTTCATTTTTCTCAGACTTCAAAACTCTATGGCTGTTTTCACAAACGTAGTCTGTGAGCATACCTAAATAAGTATGTTCAGAAATTATTTTGCAATGTTCAAGAATACACAGGTGTTCACCAATTGTTTAGGAAGCCTTTCTCCACTGAGGCACACTACTACATATCTCTGAATTCTCAGGACCTTTGTCACTACCTGTCATGAGGAAGAAATAGGAGAACATACTATAAATTTAGGAGATCACTATAAATACAAAAAAGCCCAAGTTTAAGTTGAGCCATTGTGGCTATGAGGCCCTGCATTAAATACATTAATAAACTCTAGACATTCCAGATCTGCTACTCTGTGGAAAGAGGGCATAGACCTAGCTCATTACTGCTCTACAAGCTACAAAAGCATCATAGTCAGGGTCTTCCCAAGCTCCTCCCAATGCCTAAGATGGTGGACTTACCAGCCTACCAGTGAATTTCAAAGATGATACTTGAGTCTGCTGCTGTCATAGTGAAGCCAGGGTCCTGGCAACCCCAAATTACCCTTGCCAATGGCAAGAGGCAAAAGGGATAGTGAATGTCCCATGGCCAAAGCTTGAGGACCTCAGGAGCTGAAGCTAACTAAATACCTGAGGCTACAGACACCGGAACTACTCCTAAACACTTGTAACTGGTTTTGCCCAATCCATCCTATTTCTGGGCTCCTATCCACAACCTCACTATTCCATGGATCCAGGATCTCTCAGAATCTTTGCTAATCAGGCCACAGGACATCAAAAGTATTAAATGAGATTCAGCAAACATTTTGCTACCACTGTTGTACTCAGAACAGGTAAATCATGCTGAGACACCAGAACAGACAGAAGTCACAGCCAGCAATGGCCCACCTCACTGGACAGTTCATATAGCCTGCCCCTTTATCACTGATTGACTCCTGCTCTATTGCCGTCCTTCTGAGTCAAGAATAAACAGAGAAAGGAACCCCTCCCTGCAAGAGAGGATCTCAAATGATAGACTGTAGTGCAGAGACTTCTGGAGCTGCCATTCTTCTACAGTGGTGAACTCAGCTCGACAGAGGAGTGTTTGTATTGAAGAGCTTTACCTCAGACTTTTAATTTTTAAATCTATTTTATTTCAAGAAAAAAAGAACACATCAACTAAAATTAAATTTCAAAACGTGTCAATCAGGGGGCAACAAAGGTATATACATTGCACATTGTCATCCCCAGATCTTTCACCCAGTGCACAAGACATCTGTACTCAATTTTCCAAACAGTACTGTTACAGGGACGTGAGTTACTTAAATACTATTGGCATGAGACTTGGCCATGCAGGAGACCAGATACCTTGCAACTATGGGGAATACTGACACCTCATGCTATGGGCCAAGGCTCAAGACAAATGATAAGCAAATTCATCCATATCCTAAGGATTGATACTCTAAATAGTTCCCTAGCACTCTGAGGAAGTCAGGAGTCACCATTTAAAGAAATGTATCCTTATCCTAAAGACTGACATTCTAAATAGTTCCTATCATCCTGAGGAACTCAGGAGTCACCCTCCCAAACCCCTAAGGGAAGAGTCACAGCTGCCTAAGAATGCCTGCTTTCTATGTGACTCCCTTCCCCCTTTGTTACCAATTTAATCAACTTTACCTGAACTTATAATCTTATTGGCTACCATTACTCTGTCCCATCTTATGCCCATCTGCATTGTGAGTTCTTAGTTTTCCCCACCTTAAACTCACTTCACCACATGAGTTTACTCTATAAAGGTCCCTAGAATGGACAGTGTTTGGCAACCTGCTCAGGATACCTTCTCTCTCTCAGGCAGCTTTTTTTCTCTCAATAAGTATATTCTTCTCTTAATCTATGTTGTTCCTAAAATTCATTCTTGGACTTTACAGGACAAAAACCTAATATCAGACATAGTAGACAGGGAGATTCATTCCAGTATATCAATATCAGTATAAACTTTTTCTTGAAGTCAGAGAAATCCAGTAGTTTGTATCACACATTGTTGATCTCACCATGCCATGGATATTTGCATTGAAGTCTTTTATCCCTGCCTTTAAGTGCTGCTTCTTTTTCTGAAACTGAACTGATCTGTAATTTTGGTTATGGTATTGACAATGCATTAAGGAATTGACTCAAAATATTTCTTATGAATGGTTTACCAACAGCCATGGAGGAAGACAGCAAA